GTGTCCCCAGCACCCACACCTGGCCCTGTAATGTCCCCTGGGTGTCCCCAGCACCCAACACACAGCTCTGTCACATCCCCTGGGTGGAGGGGATGTGACACACCCACACCAGCACCCACACCCCCGGGCTGGAGGTGTCTCCCCTCAAACACACGACCAGAGATGGCTTCGAGCCAGGGGCAGGACAAGCTGTCCCTAAGGGTGTCCAAGGGACATTCCCAGTGCTCCTGCCCTGCCTGGGACAAGACAGACCCCACAAGGAGCCCCCTGCACCAATGTCCCCTCCCTGGAACCCCTTCCTGGCCCTCCCAGCCTCCAGACCCCACCTTTTCCTTAACCCTGAGACCCTCCGACGCCCCTTCCTGCCTTTCCCAGACCCCAGACCCTCCGTTTTTCACCCCCAGGGATCCTGCAAGCGCCTTCTGCCTCAGCCCAGGTCTCCCAGCCCCTCTTTTCCTTGGACCTGGGATCCCCCACACTCCCAAGCCTGCCTTTCTCAGACCCGAATGCCCTCGTTCTTCAGCATCGGGGACGCCCTGAGCCCCTTTTGCCGCCGCGGCCTGGGTCTCCAGCTCCCAGTCCTCCCGTTTTCCCAGACACTGGGCCCCCCGACCCCCATTCCTGCTTTTCCCAGCCCACCAGGAACCCCTGAACCTCTTCCCCTGATTCAGAGCACCCCATTTCCCGCGCAAAGGGACCCCTCATCCCACCTCTCCCAGTCCCTGCACTCCCCTTTCTTCAACTCTGGAACCCCCCCCGAACGCCTTTATCCGGCCCTGGGACCCCTCCGCAGCCATCGGGAGGGGCAGCGCGGCCCGGGCCCCTCAGGCAGGGCTGTGGGGAGGCTCTGAGGCCGCTCCCGGAGCAGCGGCTCGTCCCCATTCCCGCGGCATTCCCGCCGGCATCGGCACTCACGCTCCGCCAGCATCGCCATCTTGGGGGCCTCCCTCCCTGCAGGGCGCCTTTCCCCACCTCTGCCCCAGCAGCGCCTGATTAAAAAAAATGTTTTAAAACAGGCGAGCGCGGCGGGCACCACAGTTAAAACGAAGAATAAAAAAATAAAGTTTGCAGATTTGTTAAAATTCTAATAAATATCTCAAAACGCCCCTCGGCTGTGCACCGGCTGTTTCCGAGCAGGGAGAAGGGGATGAGCAGCGCTGGTTATGTGTGGTTGGAATAAAGGGGCACGGGCAGGGTGAATATTCCAGGGAATTTCAGGTGGGGGTGTCCCTGGATTTTCCCAAATCTCGCTGTTGTGGGAGGTGTGGAAAATGTATATTTTATGATTGGCTTTTCGCAAATGTGACAACGAATATTAGATGCGTAATGTTAGAAAGTTATGCTGCAGTAATTCTTTTAAGGAGTGCGTTAAATGTATTTTAGGTCACAGCATAATGTTAAAATAGAAACTCTGCGATGTAGGATTTGTTACAAGCTCAAGCAGGAAGATGAGATAATCAAGAAACTCTTCACACAGAGATGTCAGCGAAGGGGACCCATAAAAAGTTACAGCCTCCTTATCAAAAAAGACAAACATTCTTCCACCTTCTCTCTGTCTTTTTGGAACCAGCAAGATTAAGGAGAAGAAGTTGACGAAAACCAGAAAAGTTCTTAATTTGCGAAGAAATTTATGCATCATGTATGAAATATATGAATATGCAACAGGCATTTAAGGCTTTGTAGGTTATTCCTTTGTTGACAAGGGATGCTTTTCGTGACTTAGTGTCCGAGAGCATTTGGACATCTGTAATTCTTTGCTTTTTATTGTCTTGTAATTGCCCTAACTCTAAACTTTATTACTCTAATTGTATTACTATTTTTATAACCATTTTATTATTATTAAACTTTTAAAATTTGAAAAACCAAGTGATTG